CGTACTTAATCGTAGTTGGAAGATCCCATTTCATTCCTTGGTGATTTTGAAGCCCTTTTGTAGGATTCCTGGTGGCGTGGTGGTTCTGCGTTGGGCTGCTTGCTAACCGCATGCACTTGAAACGACCAGATGAGACTTGTGCTCCCCTAAAACTTGGAAACTTTCACGGGGGCAGTTCTGCCCCGTCCTGTAGGGTCGCTAGTGAGTCGACATCGACTCGATGGCAGCGAGTTTAATTTTTTGAGTTTGTAGAACTTTTGAGATGAGTTGTGAAAATGTCGGTGAAACATTTGCTACAGCACGTAGAACATACACATTCGTCAGTTCTTTGCTCCCATTTTTGTATACTTCTCTGCCACATTTGAGTGATACTATTTTAGATTTATAGAAATAGTATTTATTGATCTCTTAAAGATTCTTTCGATTTGATTTTTTCATGCAGTTTACCCGCGTTAGTGTGTAAGCAAAATGAGTTTCGTCTTTTTAGTCGTTCAGAGATTTTGTGTACTTGCTACATATTCCTGTATGTACTGTACCGATAGATGGGATGACTCAGACTAGTTGATAGTCTAATAGAGGGATAAAAAGCTGATAAAATAAGGTGCTATATGCCTTTGCATGATAAGTTCATGCATAAGTTCATGATAAGTGACAGCTGGGGGTATAGAATATAGAGCACCTTTACTGCCATATGCCAAGGCAGATCCAGCTGCCGCGGAGGTGATTCTGACTCAGTGACCCTGTACACAGAGTAGAAGTAGCCCTTTGGATTTCCAAGGCGTAAGTCTTTACAGGCCTGAAAGGCCTCGTCTTTCTCCGCTGATTTGGTAGTGAGCAGCCCAACCTGTAACCCACTATACCACTTGCATGCCTTATATTGCCATGAACTATTCCTTCATTTGAGTTAATAATGTGTATATTTTATCAGCTGGTAAATATGTGGAAGTCTTATATGCACTTTACTTGGGAGCAATTAAAAAAAAAGCATGGCCAACTAAATTATGTGCGCTGTTTTTATTTTCCTTCCCGAACTGTCCATTGGACTGGAACAGGGAGGGTCATAGTTTTTTAAGAGAGAAGTGCTTTCACTGATGCTAAAAATCTATAGGAAAGTAAGATCCTCAGAGAGCAAACACCTTACGGGGGTATCCCCAAAGCCACAGAATCCCCCTCCAAGTTATGTCTTTAAGTTCTTTTACAAAACACCCTCATCACCTCAAAGTACACTCCATTACACTTAACACGTTTGTCAAATCTGTGATTCCATTCTTGGAAACATTTTTCAAACTCGTGTATGGATAGCTGATAGCACCGCCCTCGCTTTTTTCTTCACCTCTTCTACTTCATCAAATTGCTGTCCTTTCATGCCGGTCTTTATTTTTGGAAGCAAAAACACATTGCAGGGAGCTAGGTCAGGTAAGTCAGGTGGCGTGGGGCAAGAGAGGCTTGCTGGGTTTTACCCAAAACTGCCACACTGAGATGCCTGCGTGAGCAGGTGCTCAGTTGTGGTGGCAAAACTTGTCCCCCGTCTGCCACAAATCAGGCCTTTTTTGGTCACACACTTTTACACAATCTTTTCAGAAAGAAAAGAATAAATAGAAAGCTTGGTTAACTGTCTGACCTGGTGGAACAAACTCCAAATGCACTAGGAGTCATCATTTTTGTTCGTGAACTTGGCAGACCCCAAGAACAAGGTTTGTCATCTATGGATATTTCAACTTTTTTGAAACAAGAAAACCTCTCACACATGAGTTTTTCCCATAGTGCTGTCCTTGTATGCTGTGGTCAACATCACAACAGCTTCTGCAGCATTTTCCCCCAAGCAGGAAACAAAATTTCACAGCCACATGCTGTTCTCTTAAATCGACCATCACAAAAAACAAGGTTCATGCAAAACTACTTTAACGAAAAAAATTCACTGTGACCGGAGAAAACCTTCCCAGGGATGCCACTGGGTGCACCAACTTAGAGTGAGTTGCTTGATGCTAGCCTAGTGGGGGGAAATGCACACTACGAAAGCTCCACTCTGCCCAGCACAATTCCGATTCTTTGGGGGGTACCTCCTCTTACAGCCCCCAGTTGCCTCCTTTATAAACAGAAGATAATAATTATACCTTATCTCATAGGGTTGTGGTGAGGATTATACCTTAAAACAGTGAATCTATAAAATGATGAGCCATTATTATTCACCTTTGGTGGCAATAATGTGTAACTTTCAGCAGTGATGATGGAGCGGGACAATATGTACTTGCTGGCAGGCATTATGGCATAACAACTGGAAGAAAGATAAACAATAATTAGCCTGTGGATTGGATTCATAAGCTACATTAAGTAACTGCCTAAAGGTTCACTAGCAGTTTCATGTGCAAATTTTTGTATTAGGATGCAGGATATAATTTGACTGCTTTAAGATTGAAGAATAGTAACAGTATATTCATTTGGACCTTTTAAATATATATTTTTAATCATTTTATTAGGGGCTCATATGACATCACAATTCATACATGCATCAATTGTGTAAAGTACATTTGTACATTCATTGCCCTTGTCATTCTCAAAACATTGCTCTCCACTTAAGCCCCCGGCATCAGGTCCTCATTTTTTTTCCCCCTTCCTCATGAGCCCTTGATAATTTATAAATTGTTTATTTTGTCATAACCTGCCTTGTCCGACGTCTCCCTTCACCCACTTTTCTGTTGTTCCAGGGAGGAGGTCACATATAGATCCTTGTAATTGGTTCCCTCTTTCCAACCCACTCTCCCTCTATCCTCCCAGTATCGCCACTCACACCACTGGTCCTGAAGGGAATCATCTGCCCTGGATTCCCTGTGTTTCCAGTTCCTATCTGTACCAGTGTACATCCTCTGGTCTAGCCAGATTTGCAGGGTAGAATTCGGATCATGATTGGGGGGGGGGAGCATTTAGGAACTAGAGGAAAGTTGTATTTTTCATCGTTGTTACATCGCACCCTGTCTTGCTCCCTTTTTAATATATTTTTTTCCCTTTTTAATATTTTTAATAAAAAGATTTACTAAAAAAAGCAGTAATATGTTAGGGGTTTTAAAAGCTTGCTAGCAGCCATCCAAGGTAAAACAATTGGTCTCTGTTCACCTGGAGCAATAAGAGCCAACTGACTGTGTGGAAGCAATGCAGATTCTGAAGTGTAAATCTTTAGGGGAGCGGTTAGCCTTGTCTTTTTCCCACTGAGTGCTGGGCTTAGACCACCATTAGGTCTTCAACCCTTACTCCTGACAGAGCCACAAAGGCAGGAAAAAGAATAGGAAAAGGCATGTGTCACTAATTGTCTCCTAAACCTTGTTGTTCCCTCTGCCTCCAGGCTAGAACTAGGTGGACTCCTAATTAATAAATAAGCTAATGCAATATCTCAGCTGACTTTTAAGAATTTGCACATCAGTCAAGTTCTAGTTTTGAAATATGAGGAAAATATCTTAAGCTGTTCTTCTGTATTTTGCTTTTTCCAAACAGAAAGCCCAAAACAAAAAGGGCCAAGAGATTCCTTGAGAAGAGGGAGCCGAAGCTCAGTGAGAACATTAAAAATGCCATGCTGATTAAAGGAGGAAATGCAAATGCAACAGTGACACAAGTCCTGAGAGATGTGGTACGTATAGAAGTTTAGTTTCTAGTCATTTTAGGAAAGATTTCACAAAACTTTGAAGACCCCCTCACATAGCTTTCCCTGACTTAAGACTGCTTGTCTTAGAGTAGAATTAAAACCCAAACCCACTCCTTTCGAGTCCATTCTGACTCCGAGGAAGCCTATCGGACAAGGGTAGAACCGTCCCATATGGTTTCTCAGGCTGAAACTTCTTGACAGAAGTCTGCCATGCCTTTCTCCCTGGGGATGTGTGGTGGATCCAAACTGCTGACCTTTCAGTCTCAGCCAAGTATGTAACCAGTGTGTCACTAGGGATCTTTAGAGAAGAGTTAAAGTTGGAAGTTTTCTGGAAATTAACTAGCTCCCTTAGTTAAAATTAGAAAATTTTAGCAGATTCGAATGAATAGAATTTGACTTAAATTTTAGGAAAGTATTTAATTTGTAAAGTGTAATAACGGCACGTTTCTGTATATTTATTCTGTTATTCTATGAAGGAGCTTTAAAAGGTTTTTTTTCCTCCTTTACCTTTCAATTCCATTTTTCTTTGAACTTTTTGAAGTCCCCATTTATATTTATTTAACAATGCTAGTTATTATGCTGGGAGCCCTGATGTCGTAGTGGTTATGTGTTGGGCTGCGATTCACAAGGTCAGCAGTTCTAAACCACCTGCCGCACTGAGGAAGAAAGACAGGGTTTTCTTTTTTTTTTAGACATTTTATTAGGGGCTCATACAACTCTTATCACAATCCATACACACATCAATTGTGTAAAGCGCATTTGTACTTCATTCTCAAAACATTTTCTCTCCACTTAAACCCCCGACATTAAGTCCTCATTTTTCCCCTCCCTCCCCGCTCCCCCCTCCCTCATGAGCCCTTGGTAGTTTATAAATTGTTATTTTGTCACGGGGTTTTCTACTCCTGTTAACAGTTACCGTCTGGGAAACTCACAGAGGCATTTCTACCCTCTCTTACAGGGTTGCTGTGAACTGACGTTGACTTGATGTCAGTGAGCTGGGCTTTTTAGTTACTATGCATGGTTCACAGTTCCTTCAATTAGTGAGGGAGGCTGACAAGTAAACTACTGTAACCTTGTGAATTAAGTGCTGTGCTCAGGTAGTCACAGGATAGGGTGGGACCCAGGGTTAAATTATATGGGGATTTCACATAGGCTTTCAGAGGTGACATTTAAATTTCATTTTGAAGGAAGTTTACTTACTAATTGCTGCCGAGTCGATGCCAACTCATGATGACCCTGTAGGACAGGGTAGAACTGCCCGGTGAGTTTCCAAGACTGTAACTTTTATGGGAGTAGAAAGCCCCATCTTTCTCCTGTTGAGCCCATGGTGGTTTTGAACTGCTGACCTTATGGATCGCAGCCCAACTTGAAACCACTATGCCACCCAGGCTCTGGTTTGAAGGCAGGGTGGGGTTTAAACAGGAGAGAAAGAGAAGGACTGCCAAGCAGAAGAAAAAGTTTGTGCAGAAGAGAGTGTGAAGGAGCCTTTGGGGAGCTGTAAACAGTGGGGACTGACTAAAGGAATGGAGTCTAGGTGAGTTTCAGCGATGTGGGTTGAACTTCATTCAGATTTGTGGATGTTACCATTCTCATGTTTATATGTAATGGTTCCAACCCACAAAGATAAAGCTCAGATTTATAAAGATACTGATAATAAAAGGCAATATTAATGAAAACTTAAGAGAAAAGAAGTGGTGGCCTTCAGAGAGTGGGTATCAAAAAATTGGTGGAATGGAAGGTTTCCCTGACTTTTTGAAGTCCCCTTATATCAGAAATGACTTAAGACAGTGGTAAGTTGGGGACTACCTGTATTATGTATTATACTCTCAACTGGTTTTTTGGGGGCAAACAAAATAGGTAGACTTCCAAGAAATTATAAACTGGATACAATGTGGAAAAGACATAGAAACATCTAGGTAGGAAGGTAAGTCCAGTGTAAGACTATTAAGCTTATGTTATAAATTATATGGTAGGAACTGTAAATAATCATAAAGGAGCCAAACAGAAGACATCAGAATAGGATTCGGGGGCCAGGATTATCCTGATTTACTATCCAGGATTATCATGATTTATGGCTGCTGTTACTGCAGTATTCTGATCGCTGCTTTTTAGAATGGGCTTTATTTTGAAAGCTATTAATTATGTTTTACAGTATTCACTGAAAAAACCATATGGCGTTCTGTATAAGAAGTAAGTAATTTATTTTACCTTAATTTATTTTGTTCCATTATAAAAGTAAAGAAAGCACTTATGGAAAATTTTGAATATTTCATTTTTAAAACACTATAGTTCCTTATGTACAGCTATTAGCATTTTAATTTCTTTCTAGTTCTTCCTCATTTGTAGTGAGTGCACTTACATGGTTGTGATCATAGCATTTGTGCAGATTAAAATACTTTCCTAAAATTATTTTAAAATAATTTTGTTGTTGTTAGGTGCTGTTGAGTTGGTTCCAACTCCTAGCAACCCTGTGTACAACAGAAGGAAACACCAGCTGGCCCTGAGCCACGCCAGGCTCACAATTGTCCTTGGGTTTGAGCCCATGGTTGCAGCCATTGTGTTGATCCATCTCGTGGAGGGCGCCTTCCTCTTTTCACTGCTCCTCTACTAAGCATGCCACCCTTCTCTAGGGACTGGCCTCTCCTGACATGTCCAAAGTACGTGAGATACAGTCTCAGCTTCCAAGAAGCATTCAGGTTGTACTTCTTCCAAAACGAATTTGTTTGTCCGTTTGCCAGTCCATGGCTCTCTCAGTATTCTTTGCCAGCACTGTAAGTCAAGTGCTCTGATTCTTCTTTGGCCGTCCATAAGTAACGTCCAATTTTCACATGCTTATGAGGCAATTGAAAATATGATGGCTTGGATCAGACGTACCTTAGTCTTCGAAGTAATCTTGCTGTTCAACACTTCAATGAGATCTTTTTTTTTTTTTCAACGGCATCTTATGCAGCAGATTTAGCCAGTTGCAAGCCATCTTTTGATCTCTTGACTGCTACTTCTGTGAGTACTGATTGTGGAGCCACGCAAGACAAAACCCTTGGCATCTTCCGTCTTTCCTCCATTTACCACTATAGGGTCTTTGCACACTTCATTATATTTTACTTTGCCTTCTCTAGCTGCTCTTTGAAATTGTCTGTTCTGTTCATTTCTGCTGTTTGCTTTAGCTACTCGACGATTAAGAGAAAGTTTCAGTCTTTTCTGACATCCACTTGATCTTTCTTTCCTGTCTTTAATGACCTTTTGCTTTCTTCATGATTCTACATAGCATGTTCTTGATGTCTTCCCACAGCTCATTAGGTCCTCTGTCATTAGTGTTTAGTGCAGCACATCTATACTTCAGATGTTCTCTAAATTCAGATGGGATAGACTCAAGGTCATATTTTGCTCTTGTGTACTTGTTTTAGTTTTATTCAGCTTCAACCGGAGCAATTCATAGTTTGTCCCACAGTTAGCCCCAGGCCTGGTTTTAGCTGTAGATAGTGAGCTTTACCATTGCCTCTACCCACAGATGTAGGCAATTTGATTGCTGTGTATTCCATCTGAAGAAGTTTCCGTTTGTATAGTCGACATTTGTGTTGAAAAAAGATATTTGCTATGTAGAAGTCCTTGGTCTTAAAAACTTTTATCATGTGATATCCAGCCTTGTTTCTATTACGAAGACCATCCAGGTTTGTTTTTTTCCAAGTTTGTTTTTTTGAAGACCATATCCAACTTTTGCATTCCAGTGGCCAATAATGATCAGTGCCTCTTGATTGCATGTTTGATCAATTTCTGACTGAAGACTTTGGTAGAGTTCATTACTAGCTTTAGTGGCTGATGCATATATTTGAATAATAGTTGTATTGATTGAGTTTCTTTGAGTATTCATTTAAATAATAGTTGTATTGATTGAGTTTCTTTGAGTATTCATTTAAATAATAGTTGTATTGATTGATATTCCTATTACAGTCAGCCTTACACTTTAAGATAGCTTGAAATGTCCTTTTTGACAATGAATGCAATGCCATTCTTATTGTTGTGTCATTCTCAGCAAAGTCAACCATAAGATTTTCTCACAGATTGATCACTACCAGTCCAGTAGATTTTCACAGCTGTTTTTCGCATTTTGAGTAGATCCCCGTCAGCAAATACAGGTCCGGAACGCTTTACTCCCACATCTTTACTCCATCCACATCATCATGGTCAACTCTACTTGGAAGAGGCACATCTTCCTCATATTCTGAGTGCCTTCAGTCCTGAGGGGCTCTGTTTTCTTCTGGCACTACTTGCGACAGTATCAGAATTTTAATACTGCCCATACATTTCTCTGAAGTGGCACTATTTCTGACAATGTTTATTAGGCCTTCAGTATCAGAGTTTTAATACTGCCCATAAGTTTTTTGGTGGCTAATTTCTCTGAAGTGGAATTCTTCATAGTCTGTTTTTAATCTGGAATTTCTGCTGAAACCTGTTCATTTTGGGTGACCTAGCTGGTACCAGTGACATAGCATCCAGTACCACAGCAACACACAAGCCACCACAGTCTGACAAGCTTACAGTCAAGTGGTGGTAACTGTAGACTTGAGAAACGTTACAACATTTGTTATCATTTCCATATTTCCTTCACCCACTTCTTCTAATGTTATACCTTGCATAATGATAGCACAATGATCGTTGGTACAATCTTGTTAACTAAATTACAAGCTTAATTTTAGTTTTATCAATTTTCCTACATAGGAACCCTTTTTTCCCCGCAGGATTCCTTATTACATTTAGTAGTCGACTCTTTACTCCTCCAATTTGTGACAATTCCTCAGTCTTTGATGATCTTGACAATTTTTAAATGTACTTGTTAATTAATTTTTAGAATGCCCTCAATGTGTGTTTATCTTAAGTTTCCTCATGAATAGATTAAGGTTATCCATTTGGGGGAATGCCACAAAAGTGAAGTATGTCCCTCCTCAGTATTCAGTATCAGAGTAGATGACCTCAGTAAGTCTTCTTACTGGTAGCATTGTCCGTGGTTAAAGCTATGCCTCCTGGTTTTTCAAATATAAAGTTACTGTTTGTGTGTGTGTGTGTGTAATTAAATATTTTAGAGTAGATACTTTTAGACTATGCAAAAATATCCTTCTCAAAACATTTGCTCAGTTTTAGCATCTGTTGTTGATTACTGTGTTATTACAATGCATTTTTCTATTTATAGTTATGTGTCATTTTTAATGGTAGTATGATGCTTATTAAATGACTTAAAATAACAATTCCTTAATTTTAGCAATTTTAGGTTCTCTCAGGTTTTAAATTCTCATAAATTATGTTGAAATGACCATTTTTACTTTGAAATAACAATGAGGTATTCTTTTGCATTTTCTGCTTGAGATTTATAAAAATGGCATTACATACTGGATATAATTATATGCTCAATGAAGCTTTTTGAAAAATTTGTTCTGAGTGAATGTAATATAGTTTATGGATATTTATGTACTTGTGGTGTATTTATATAATTAAATAAAAACTGATCATTTAATTTATATTTTCCATGTTACTAGTAGTTCCTGTTTACTTATTTGCAAATTACTGTTAGCTGTTGTCTTAGTTGCCTACTGGTGCTTTACCAGAAATACCACAAGTGGGTGGCTTTAACATACAGACTAGTTTCCTCACAGTTCACATGGTCAGCAGTAGCATCCCTATGTCCTAGAATGGTGAGCCACTAAATAAGTATTTAAATGAATGAGTATCCTTCCAGTACGGCTTTTTAAAACACCTAAACATGAAATTTACTTAATATATTACTTAATTGTTTTAGACAAATTCAAGATTAATAAAATTGGAACTGACTTAAAAATGTCTTTTTAAATATCCTTAGGAAGAACATTACAAGGCCATTTGAAGATCAGACATCACTGGTAAGAGATTTTTGATTCATTAAATATGATTGAATTCCTTTTTAATTAGGAATCATCTAGTGTGAAGGAATCTTTATATAAAATGGAAAAAGACACACTTTCAAAGATACAGTTGTAGACCTTAAATCTCACATTGGTTCGTAGTAGATGCATTAGTCACTGCTTATAAGCAAATTAATAAATTTTGAAGATCTGAATTATATTTCTAGTTTAATTAGCAGATTGTGAAAGTTTTATGGTCCTGCTTTTATAAAATAAGGGTTTTTTTG